ACACTACATCAAAAACTAATGATGTAATGTATGGTGATTAACAAAACAATAAAAAATTATTAAAAAAAAAAGAATAGGAATTATTCGCAATAAATTAACAGGTTAGAATCATTGTTTTAAGTGACATGTTTCAATTTACATAGCATTGACATAACCCCCCTTAGGCAATACAAGGACATCAGTACTTGCTCTCATTGCCCCTTTACCCTCTCCTGGTTTGTTTATTGTTATTATTCCCTTGTCTGCATTTATAACATCCACTTTCTATTCTGAAACCATAATTCCTATAGTTGTTTTATATTACTTGTAGATTTAAATTAAGCTAACCACTAATCATTTCTTTATTCCTGAATTCTCTACCAGATTTCATCAATTCCAAAACGCATATTTGTTTTCATTTTAACATCTGTGAAATCAGGATCCATCTTATAAAAGAGGATGTGAGAAGAGCAAAACAAATAACAACAGAGTCTGAGAGCATTTGGAGAAGATCTGTATAATAATTTATATTAGAAAATTTTGCCTTAAAGAGATAGCAGCTGAGAGAGGATGTAACTAAAGGCTATGAAGTCAAGAACGAACAAAAATGTATTCACACACTGAAACTCAAAGAGGTTAATTTAATTCAGATGCCAGACAGAGGGAATTACCTTACGAAAAATGATAATTCATTACCTCGAGGTCGTGCTTTCCTAGGTTCTGGCCTGAAGACCACCTGCATCATTATTATGAGGCTGTTAAAAATGCAGATTCCTGTGCGCCACCTCAGACCTGGCAAATCAGAATCTTAGTGGGTGGGTCCCAGGAATCTGCATTTTTCCAAACTCTACAAGTAATTCTTCAGCATGCTGGAGTTTGAGCTTCACCATGTTGGAAATAGGGAGGATGGAATGGGTATCTATTATTTTGACTACCTCATAGAACCCCCCCTTTCCTCTTCTGGTTGTGGTTCAGATGGGTTCTGCTGTATGTTCTTAGTGATCCCACTCTGTTGGCCATAGCCAACTGAGCTGGGGAAAGACACCTGTCTCTACTTGGACAATCAAACCTTCCCTGGGATTTTTAAACTTGGAATACTAGCTTTGGTCCCTCTCTGGAAGTAAAATTCACAGTGTGAGGCTGAGATCTGCTGGAAGCCATGTAGAGGAAGCTAAAAGGTGGAGAGAGATGTAGTAAATGATCTGGCTATATTCTGTCCCTGGTTCCAGCCATCTCTAAGGCCCAGCATCCTTGTAATTGGATTATGAATTAATGTCCTTTATTTTTCATTATTACTATTTTTTGCTTGAGCTGGTTTGAGTTGGGTTCAGTTATATCTTCCTGATTCACCATGGGACAACCATCTCTCTCCAAAAAAATTTCAGCCAGAAATAAAATAGTCTGTTGACTAAACTACCACAGTTCTATGGCATAATATGGTGATTCTCATTTCTTAGTTGAATAAATTAGCTACTTACATGGATTTAAAACAGAACTGCCTTAAACAGGATCTCCTGCCACACCATTGATGAAATTCTGTGTCCTGAAGTATAGCTATACCCCGCCACTTTAGTCCACCTTCTTGAAAGCTGCCCTCATTTTCTAATCTTGCAGACTTCCTCTTTAGATGTAACTATCTCACCTAATAATACATAGACATTGTATATGTATATGTATATGTATATGTATATGTATATGTATATATAGTTTTTGAGTATCTACTATGTACAAGCACTGTACCAGGCACTTGGAGATGATCTATACTAATAGCCCCTTCTTCGTGGAGCTTACAATCTAGCAGGAGACATTAAACATATATAAATAATAATGACATGTGGCAATTTATTCAAAGTACCATAAACAGCATAGAGAAGTTTAATATTTCTGTCATTTGCAATCAAAAAAAGTCCTGACTAATAAAGGAGGTATTCCAAAGCCTTATGGGAACAAGACCACTTTACACCTCAAAGAGTCTGACAGATGGAGAGATGAGAGGAAAGGACATTTCAGGTGGACGGAATGAATAATGGTATTGAGACAGGAAAATAGGACAGCGGTGCAGCGTGGATGGAGGGTAAAGTGTGTAAAGGAATGCAACAAGAGGGAAGGAGAGGGGCAGCTTAGGGCCAGAGGAGTGAGCCCCTGAAATTCCACCTTCCGGGAGTGTGCTGTATACCTCAATTCTATGCTTTGGTAGTATTATTTCCTGCTAATGTAACCCCATCTCCCCAAGCTCAACCCACCCTTGATTCATCTCCAGATAAATCCCCACATCTGCCCAATTTTACTTCTCCCAGATCATTCTCTAGATACCAAAAGGCTGTAAAGATCATAAACCAATAAAGGACATCCTCTGGTAGAAAATTTTCCACATAATATTTAGATTTTTTAGAAAGACTATCTCAAAATGCTCTACAAACACATCTGCTAATAGGACCTTTTTATACAGAAACGTGTTTCCTAAAAAGGTATATCTGCCAGTTAGGCTTTTTATTAACTTGCTCATTGTTGTAGACCCTACACCTAAGGCAAGACCTGGCAAAAAAGAATGCGCTCAGTGATGAACAAATTATATGATCACTACATTTCTGTAGGGGTCTCTTATTCCTATCTTCCCTGATTTGTCTTCAGAATCTCTATTTTAAGATGCATTTTATTTATATTTTTTGTTTTTTAAAGATTTTATTTGACAGAGAGAGACACAGCGAGAGAGGGAACACAAGCAGGGGGAGTGGGAGAGGGAGAAGCAGGCTTCCTGAGGAGCAGGGAGCCCAATGCGGGGTTCGATCCCAGGGCCCTGGGATCGTGACCTGAGCCGAAGGCAGATGCTTAATGACTGAGCCACCCAGGCGCCCCAAGATACATCATTTTATTTTTTATTATTATTTTTTTTAAGATTTTATTTATTCATTTGAGACACAGAGATACAGAGAGAGAGAGCATGAGCAGGGAGAGAGGCAGAGGGAGAGGGAGAAGCAGGCTCCCCACCGAGCCAGAAGCCCGACATGGGGCTCGATCCCAGGACCCCGGGATCATGACCTGAGCCGAAGGCAGACGCTTAACCATCTGAGCCACCCAGGAGTTCGAAGGTCTATGTAATTTATAAGCCCAAAGAAACAATGTACTTACTTTGTGACTCCATAGTCAATTCCAATTGTTGCAAGATATTTAGACACAAATCTTTTCTCACAGTATCGTTTTATAATACAACTCTAAAAAAGGTAAAAAATACATGCTTTTAGTAAGTACACTCTGGAAACATACAAAATAAGCACAATTCTTCATTACTTTTCCCTCTCCTTGTAATGAGCTTTCTCCCCTCTTTCCAAATCCTATCCTTTAAGGCAGTTCAACTTCTGAGCTTTAGGTTGTAAGAGATCTTGCCTGCATCTGAACTCTTCTAACACTTTACATACATACTAATATATACACATATATAATACACGCAGACACACACGCACACACATGCCAGCAGTCATACATTGCTTTGTATTGTTAGTTATCATTTCACATGTATATATTCATCTTAGCTCTTCAGCTAGACAGTAAACTATTTGAGGACAGTAAACACCAGTATTTTACTTCTATCTTTTTGCTCATGCCAATGAAATTTGCTCAGTGCCAGTGAAAACCAATTTTAAATGACTTATATATTAATAATAGCTCTTAGCACTCATGAAACTTACAATTTACTTGGGAGTGCTAGTAATGGAGTTTATTTTGCTCAAATCCTTCCCTGATGAACGTTAACCTAAATTAAATAGGACAGTTAATTTAAAAAGCAGTTAATAAGCTTATTGTGAACTGAAGGAAAAATTTCTTTGGAGTGACTACTGCTAAGAGGCTATACTTTAAAAAGCATTTTATACCTTGAATGCACTTCACAAATATTTTCTCTCACAATAGCTTGGGAAAATGAATATAGCCTTTTTCTAAATTATTCATGAGATTAAGAGGCCTGGCAGTCCTTTAACTACAGTACACTATTTAAACACTAGTTATAAGTATTTAACAAGACACACATTTAAGTAATTGTATTAATAACCACTCTTTATAACACAAATAGGGCTCCTGGTCCTTGGGATCTTATAAGCTAAGTTAAATAACATAAATACAGAGAGAATGTTTTGTTTTCACTATTTTTCTTAAGTAGATTTTTAGGTACTTTTCTTTTTTAATGCAGTTTCAGTTAAGATCTTAACAGGTTTGGGCCTTTTTTTTTTTTACGTTATGTTAATCACCATACGTCATTAGTTTTTGATGCAGTGTTCCGTGATTCATTGTTTGTGCATAGCACCCAGTGCTCCACGCAGTACGATGGGTATTAAAGTGGGCCTCTTTTTTTAAATAGAATTTTCCTAAAATTCATATGAAAGAACAACTATCTGGGAAGAACTAATCAAAATATGAAAAAGAGGAATGGGGCAGGACAATAGAAAGAGGAGGGAAACTACCTTAATAGATATTAAAATACAGTCTGAAAGCAATCAAGACAGTATTAATATTGGCATAAGAACAAATAGGTCAGTAGAACAGAACAGAGAGCCCAGAAATAGATCTCATTAAAAGAAATTTTAAAAGTGACCAAGGTGATATTTAAAGTTAAGGGGAAAAGAATGATTTCTTTAGGAAAATGCTACTCACACAAGCTGGGCCCTTTTCTAAATACAAAAATAAATTCAGATGAATTTGTGATTTCAAAATTTAAAAATAAAACAACAAAAATTTCAGAAGAAAATGTGCACCATCACTTCTCGGTCCTTTGGCTAAGATCAAGTGCAGAAGAAATGTGCAACATATGTACAACCTTAGGGAAACCTTTTCAACCAAGGAAGGAAACTCAAAAACCATAAAAGAAAGGACTGGGGCGCCTGGGTGGCTTAGTCGGCTAAGCATCTGCCTTTGGCTCGGGTCATGATCCCGGAGTCCCAGGATCGAGCCCTGCATCGTGCTCCCTGCTCAGCAGGGAGTCTGCTTCTCCATCTGACTCTCCTCCCTCTCATTCTCTCTCTCTCTCTCTCAAATAAATAAATAAATCTTTAAAAAAAAAAAGAAAGGACAGGCATAACAGAGTATACAGAAATAATAACAAAAGCAATTGTATGGCAAAATATTTATAAAAATATTAAAAGACAAATGACATACCCAAATATTTCTTACTCGTATGACTGGCAAAAAGTTATTATCTCTGATGTCCCTGAACCAGAAAAATTGGTAAGAAAGACACATCATTCAATAGAAAAATGAGTAGGGAATATAAATATACAGAAGAGCAAATCCAAATAGCCAACAAGCATATGAAAAGGTGCTCAACTTCACCTGTAGTCCATGAAATGCAAATTAAAGTAATACTTCTCACTAACCAGACTAGGAGTCATTAAAAGAATAACAACACCTGTGTTGGCAGGGATATGGGAAAAAGGGTATCGGCATACTATACTGCTGGTAGAAATACAGTTTTTTGTTTTGTTTTAAAGATTTTATTTATTTATTTGACAGAGAGAGATACAGCGAGAAGGAGCACAAGCAGGGGGAGTGGGAGAGGGAGAAGCAGGTTCCCCGCTGAGCAAGGAGCCCAATGCAGGGCTCGATCCCCGGACCCTGGGATCATGACCTGAGCCAAAGGCAGACGCTTAATGACTGAGGCACCCAGGCACTCCAGAAATACAGTTTTTTGAAGAGCAGTTGGCAAGAGCTACTAAAATTTAAAAATATGCTCTTCAACTCAGCATTCTACCCCTGGGAATCTCATCTATGGAAATTAGAAGACCAGTATTTAAGTGTATGAACACACACACACACACACACACACACACACAGACACACACACACACACACACGGCATTTACTACAACATTGTAGTAGGGGAAAAGCTGGAAATGACATGAATTCTCATCAATAGAGGAATCTTGCGTACCGCAGACTATGCAAATGAAAGAGTAGAGCTGCTGTATCAGATAACTTGGAGGGATTATGATATCTATTGTTAAGAGAGAAAAGCAAACTCCAAGAAGTATATACAATATTGGAGGACCTCTGAAAACCCAATTCAACTGTTTTAACAGGAAAATATTTATTAAATATAACTGGAAATCTAAAATTAGGGCAAGCTTCAATGGTGGGTGTTATGAAGAGTCAAAGAAAGCACGTTAGGAAAGTTTTTTTTTTTAAGATTTTATTTATTTATTTGACAGAGAGAGACACAGCTTGAGAGGGAACACAAGCAGGGGGAGTGGGAGAAGGAGAAGGAGGCTTCCCACTGAGCAGGGAGCCCCCCGATGCGGGGCTTGATCCCAGGGCCCTGAGGTCATGACCTGAGCCGAAGGCAGACGCTTAACGACTGAGCCACCCAGGCGCCCCACGTTAGGAAAGTTCTGATGCTAGAAGGCACTGAGAACTGGACTGGGTCTTTGGGGTAGGTTGACTGCCAAGGCAGAAAGCTGAATTAGATATACACAAAGACCACAGAGAACTTTCAGGATTTTCCCATAGAGAAGATTAAGCCCTTGGAAATTCCCTTTTTCTTCCTGGATTTCTAGATCCTCTAAAATAACGCCAAGTAATAAAGGAAAATAGCAAGTATCCTTTTCGTACCTAATTTTAATGGAAATGAACTTAGCACTGTACCATTTGGTATGATGTTTGCTGTTGGTTAATAATAAATATTGTTTATCATATTTAAGTAGTTTCATTTTATTCTGATTTTGCTTAAAGTTTTTATTAGGATTGACTACTTGATTATATCAAATGTTTTTCCAGTACTGAAAAAATTTTCTCCAGTAGTCAGCTGATGTAACAAATTATGTTGACTAACTTCTTAATATTGAACCATATTTGCATTCCAGGGATAAATATAGCACTACTTGCTAATAGTGAATTATTTTTGATATATTGCTGAGCTCTATTTATTGATATTTAAGAAATTATGCATCTCTTTATATATGTGAAATTGGGATATACTTTTCGTTTTTGATACTACATCAAGTTTTGCTAGTTAAGTTACCACGACTTCATATAATAAATTGGAGAGCTGTTCTTTTTCTTTGCCTTAAAATAATTTTAGTAACTGAAATTATATGTTACTTAAGGCTTAAATAAAGCTTATTCATGAAGCCATCTGATCCTGATACTTTTTTGGAGGATAAATCCTTTCATTGTTTTTCTAATTTCTTCTTATATGACTAATCGACTGGGTTTTCTACTTCTTTTTGAGTCAATTTTGGTAATTTATATTTTGCTAGGAAGTCCTTCATTTCCTTTACATTTTCAAATGTGCTTCTATCGAATTGGATGTAATATTCTCTAGTCATTCTTTTAATTCTCTTCTAGCATGTGATTATGTCTCCCTTTCAGTACTAATCTTGTAATTTTTTGTTTTCTCTATTTTTCTTAAATAGAGTTTTTAGGCACTTTTATTAATTTTCATTTTCCAAACTTTCTCTTGGTTTATTTTGTGACCTTTTTCTAATGTCTTAGGTACTATGTTCCTTTAGTCTTTTTTTTAAAGATTTATTTATTTATTTATTTATTTGAGAGAGAGAGAATGAGACAGACAGCACGAGAGGGAAGAGGGTTAGAGGGAGAAGCCAACTCCCCGCTGAGCAGCGAGCCCGATGCAGGACTCGATCCCGGGACTCCAGGATCATGACCTGAGCCGAAGGCAGTCGCTCAACCAACTGAGCCACCCAGGCTTCCTTTAGTCTTTTAAAATGAGATATACCATATCACAAAATTCACACTTTAAAGGTATATAATTCAGTGGTTTTTAGTATATTCACCAAGTTGTAAAACCATTAAGTTCCTTTAGATTTTCTCTTTTTTAGAAATGAATAGGATAATGTGTTTTCCTTTGACTATAGCTTTAATTTTGTCCTGAAGGTTTCAGTACAGATTCTCTCCCTTCCATTGTTTTCTAGTTATTTTGTCATTTGTTCTGATTTGCCCTTTGATCCAAAGATTATTTACCAGGGCATGCCTCAATTTTTAACTTAAAATTGTTTATCTTTATGTATTTTCCTAATTCTTTATAATGAGTAAGTTCTACTTTTATAACTTTTGCTTTTTTTTTTTTTTTTTTGAGAGAGAGAGCGCAGGAGGGGAGGGGAAGGGGCAGAGGGAGAGGGGCAGACAGAATCTTAAGCAGGCTCCATGCCCAGCATGGAGCCTGACATGGGCTCGATCTCATGACCCTGAGATCATGACCTGAGCCAAAATCAAGAGTGAGATGCTAAACCAACTGAGCCACCCAGGTGCCCCAGCAAAAATTTTTTTTTAAGTTACATTTAAATCTTTGATCCACCTAAAATTCATTTTTGAGAAAGCAATGCAAGAGGAATCCACCTCACTCCCAAAAAGTAAATAGTTGTTCCAGCAGTACTTATTAAATGGTCCCTACTTTCCCACCACTTTACTACATTTGTTGTAAACTGAATTTCCTTATGTGTTTGGATTTATTTCTGGACTCCAGTCTGTTCCACTGGTCTCTCTATGTTCTTTCCAGCATCAGTAGGAAAAGCTTGGTAATTTTAAAATATGTTTTATTACCTGGTAGTGTTTTCTTTTGTTCACTGTTGTCTTGGTTATTCTCACATTTAATTTTTCATAAGGACTTTAGTACCTTTTATTATGTTTTGAAAGGAAAAAACCCCTATTGGTATTTTAACTAGTATTGAATTACATTTGTAGATTATTTTAAAGAATTGACATCTCTAAAATGTTAAGTGATCCTAATTAAGGGGAAAGTATATCTTTCTATGTGCTTAAGTAATTTTATGTCACTTTGTAGAGCTTTAAATTTTTCTTCATATAGGTCCTACCTATTTCTTCTTAAGTTTAAATCTAGGCATTTTATTTTGGCTGTTATTGTAAATTAACATCATTTCTCAATTATATATTAAAACATACCATTTGATATACTAAAGCTGTTAATTTTTGTATATTAATTTTGCCTTACTGAATTTTCTTATTGTTTCTAAAAGCTTTTCAGTTATTCTCTTTGGGTTTCCAGATAAATAAACATATCATTAGCAAATAACAATAATTTTACCTTCTCCTTTCCAGTATTTCATATTTTGTTTTTTTCTCTTGTCTAATTGCATTGGCTAAAAAATACAGAACAATGTTTTAAAAAATGTGACACTGGGCATTTTGGTCTATTTTTAATGTTGCACCATTAAGCATAGGAAAATTACAAAAGTGATGCATGCTTACTTAGCCAGCTTACTATTAAACCTTTTAGAGCCTTTATTCTTTTCTTTTTAATGCCTGGCACATAGTTGATGTTCAATAAATGTTGACTTTCAGTGACTGCTATGTTAATACTTACATACGTACACAGAGATACATAAATAGTACAGCATAATGCTAAATGGAAAGAAAAGGCACTAATAAACATTTACTGAGCATCAACTATGTGCAGGGCACTAGCCTAAACACTTCCATTAACGGTTCTTTTGGCATATAGATCTACTTGGCGTTGATTTTCACAGCATACAATGATGGAGAGAGAACTGCAGTAGGCTGAAGACCCAAGTTCTAATCCTGTCTCTGTCATTGATTTGATGACCTTAGGAGGTTAACCAACAGCTTCCACTTACCCAGAAGGGGAGACAATTTGGGTGAAGAGGAGACAGTTTAGAATTCACTTGGGGGAAGGCCTCTGGTTCCTCTTGCACCCTCCTCCCCCACACTATGGAAGAGCTTATGGCTGGTACCCATTAGATCTAGCAGAGAGAAGGCGGTGGAACTAAGGCTTTGAGAAAATGAATATGATGACACCACCGGAAATAAAAATAAAAGCAATACACAAAACAAAATAATGCAGGCTCCTTGACATCCACTGCACTTTCCTTGTGAAAAATGTCACCATCAGTTATGCTCTAAAAATAGATTCTGGGCTCCATGTCTGTGGGAGCAACATTTACAAACTCCAATCCTCACATGCACCCCAGTAAGCTCCCTTAGGCTCCCAAGAACAGCTGGGGTAACTAAACTTTTATTTGCCACCTCTAAGTCCTGGACAGGTCACCTATAAGGCAGGTAGGGTAGCTAGGAAGACGATCTGACATAAGGACCTAGGCCTCCCTACTCTTTTGGGGATACATTCAAGGGTTATTGGTCACAAGAGACACCTTCTTATGGAGAGTGACGTCAGTGGAGGAGGAGGGGGGGGACAACCCAAAGGTCAAAAAGGTCAGGAGAGTTTTCCGCACGGAGGCGCATCCCCTAGGAGGAGACCCGGGCCTGCTCAGGGGCGGGGAGGAGGCTGGGCCCGGCTGTTGAGTGGCGGCCCTCCCAGCCAATCGGCACGTCGCCCCGCCGCGCTGAGGTCCCGCCCCTCCCAGCACGGTACTCACTTTTCCCACTTCAGCGTTGCCCATGGAGATGACTTTGATGCGCAGGGACTTGCCAGGCTCCTTCCGCTTCGGCATGTTGGCCTCCATTGCCCTCGCTCTCTCGGGGCCACCCGCCTCGCTGTCTCCTTGTTCACCAGGCTGGCCCGTCCCTCAGGCCTCCTCGTCCAATGGCAGAATCGCTGCTATCGTCACCGCCCCGGCTCCGCGGCTCGCCATCCCCGCCGCTGCCTAGCAGCGGGCGCGGGCAGTTAGGAGCTCTGGGAACTGGGCGGGGGGGGGGAGAGTCTCGCGATGCTAGAAAGGGGCGGCGTGACGTCATCACCGGGCTCTGGAGACGAGGTTTTGATTACCTGTTCCCAGGAGTCGCGCCAACGCCCCGGGCTAAGTTCCTCGGCAGGAAGTCGGCGCTGACGGGTGGCTGGTTTTACACCGAGAGCGCGGCTTGGGTGCAGGGCCGCCAGGACAGCGGCATTTTGTAATGTTTGCAGCCGAGTGGTAGAAATGTATTGGCGGTTTGGGGCAGATCCTTGGGCCGGGAGTATTTGGAATTGTGGGTCCAGGCCCCGTCGCACTAAAAATTCGAAGTAAACCACAGTCTGTTTGGGGGTGTTTTTTTCTGAATTTTCAGTCCCTATGGGCCCGTCTACGCGAACAACCCCACGCCTCCCCATATTATGTTTCTCTTGCTTGGGCTTGCACAGGAGCCCGGGGGAAGTGGAGAAGTCGGGGCCCTGGTTCTGGAAGAGGGGCGTTACTATCGTTAAAAAAACCAGCTTGTCCATTTGGAGTCAAGACGGATTTTAGTTTAGTCATTGCTCTTCTATTACGTAGTCCTTATCTGTAGGAAGAAAGCGCAGATTAGACGTTTCTTACACTCTTCCGGTTCTATGAAGGTGTGTGTGTGTGTGCTTGTAGCTGTTTGCTTCTTCATTTTCCTCTCCCTCCCACTCACATTCAAACTTAACCCCATCATCTGTGCTCACCTTCCCTGTAACTGATAATATGACAGTAGAATAGTAATGAATCCTAAGATAACCACTTTTCTGTTCTCATTCCAGGGGATGAGAAAAGCATCTGCTTGGATAAAAAACAGTCTGGGAGGAACGGTAATTTTTTGTCATTATCTTGAGTTACAGAAGTTAAGTAGAACTTGACAAATGATTAGTGCCCTGAAAAAGAACGGCTGCCAACTTCCCAGTAAATCACCCGGGCAAAAGTAGCATTATTTCTGTTCTCACATAGCTTTAAACATCTTAAAGGAAATACATTGCGGGAAGACAGTGAATAAAGCCTCAAAATTTCTTAGCTATCTTAAGTCAGATTTTAAAACATTTTATTTTTAAAACATGATTTTTAAGACGGAAGCTTACTCTGGGTTGTATTTATAATAAACAGATAATAAAACTTAGTTTAATGAAGCTTCTAAGATTGTTTACAACCATGAAATATAGGTCCTGGTCAGAATTTTGATATTTTAAAGTTCGAAAGAATTTAATGTATACCGATTCTTCACAAATCTAGATGCTGACCTCTCAGTATAATTTAATAAATCAAATCAGTGAACATCTTTTTCTTTGCTAGTTCTCCTTTGGCCCTGTAATACAACTGGTGTGGAAGAATAATTGCAAAATGTAAAATTTTCGCTTATTAAAAGACTGATTTAGGTTTGATACTATTGAGCAGATGGGCAATAAAACAGGCCAAAGATTAAAATTTATTACCATTTTTTCATATTGATGTTTCTGAGGTTTGAAAATGTATAGCCGTATTTTCTACTGGGTGTGTTAAATTACTTTGGAATCAAAAAAGCAAGAGTTAGCTTTCTTTTCCAGTCTTCTTTTTTTCAGGTTCTCCCCACCCTTTTCTTTTCCAGTCTTTAATACAGAAAGAAGAAAAGTGTGGGGGTGCCTGGGTGGCTCAGTTGGTTAAGTGGCTGCCTTTGGCTCAGGTTATGATTTCCGGGTCCTGGGATCCAGAACTATATACGGGGCTTCCTGCTCAGCAGCGAGTCTGCTTCTCTCCCTCTCTCTCTCTGCCCCTCCTTACTGCTCATTCTCTCTCTCTCTCTCAAATAAATAAATAAAATCTTTTAAAAAATAATAAAAATTTTTAAAAAAGAAGTGTGCATTGGCTGTGTATAGTGCGAACCTGAAAGTGGGGGTTAGGAACATAAGTTCTGGACTCAGCCCTGTTATACTTTTTGTTGGCATAAGATGGGCATGTGGTAAGGGTAAGGATTGCAAGAGATAAGGCACATGAAGTACATGGTAGTTCCTCAGTAAACAGCCATATGCTTTCCTGTACTCATGTTTTTTATTTTTATGTATTAAAGACTACATATTTTAAATGTGTGTTTTTAAAGTAAATTATGAAATATTTTGGACATGGTTAAAGGTATAAAGAATAATATAATGAATACCTATGCATCCACCACATAGATTAAAATATGAAATATCTGATACCGTCTGTACTCTTTCCCAATATACCCATCCTCCCTCTTTATAAAAGGTTGCAACTATCTGAATTGGGGCTTTTAATTTCTAGGCATTTAAAAATTGTTTTACTACATATGAATATACACCCTAAAATGTAGTATTGTGTTGCATTTTTAAAAATCTTTATTTTGAAGTAATTTCACTTGAAAAGTTTTAAGAATAGTAGGAAAAAAATCGGGTATACCCTTTATCCAGATTCATCAATTGTTGACATTTTTGCTTCATTTATTATAGCAGTTGTGCTCAATATCTATATATTCATATATATACACACAAGTTTTTTTTTTAATAGTTTGAGAATAATTTGCAGACATGTTTCTTTATCCATAAGTACTTCAATGTGTATTTCCTAAGAAGGACTTTCTCTTACATAGCAATAGGATATTTATCAAAATCAAGAAATGTTAACATTGTAACAATAACACTATTATCTAATCCTATGGTTCTCAAATTGTGCACTGGGGTGCTCCACATACTCAGGGTTATCCAAGGGGATATCTGTGGGATACTTTACATTCTAAGTTTTTAAGGCAAACTAAATAAATTTTAGCTCAAGGTTGTTTACAATTTCAACAATAGGTGGCACCATATTACTTGGATACGTCATATATTTGGGAGCTGGATTTTTCAGGGGTTGTGATAAAGCAAGTACAGTGCCAAAATCAATGTGAAACAGGAAATGAGGGTGCTCTTGTCCAATTTGATTCCAAGGCCTGCGAAGTTGTGCAATGCCCAACAGGTGCACAAATCCCACTGTGGTTAAGATGAAATAAAAAACTTTCAATTTATGTGTATTATTTTTTCAAATGGCAACCAAATCGTTAGAAAATAAATATTTAATAAGTTGTTTGAACCTGGATATTTCCTTTGACCAAGGAACACTATGAAAAAAATTGAGATACTAAGGGTGCCTGGAATTATACCTATTTTTTGTCTCAAACTGATGAATATAGTTTTTCATATAGTTTCATATAGTGAGAACATAGCTCTCTGATATGTTGATGGCAGCCTTGTGAGATTTCTGGCTTAGAGGACTTAGCTACTCCATGCCTGGACTCCTGACCTACAGAACTGTGAGACATTAAATGCCTGTTGTTTGAAGCTGTTCAGTTTGCGATAATTTGTTATGTGGCAATAGAAAACATGATAGAAAATGAAAGATTCTTACCTACAGATTCCATTTCTTGAGAAGTTCTGCCTTCATTGTGGCAGTGCAAGTCCCTACAGACCAACGCTCCCACTGATAACTATAAACTCTGGGGGAAAAAATGCAAAACAGCGATCTAGAGATTCTGAAGAGTAATAAAAATCAGACAGATGGTGGAGGGGAGTAAAAACCTTGGAGAAATGACTGGCATGGGATGAATTTCTCCTGAGCAATACAAGGACTTGAGTACATACCAACTCTGCTTAGCCCCTTCTGTCTTACCTATTAGTGTACGGGATTTTAGTGCAGAGCATGCACAACACCGTATCAGAGGACATGGATATTAGGATACTATGTAGACTTCTACACGCTCATTCTACTACCATCCCAAGGACTGTGTGGCAGGCTGCATTTTCCAAATAGGGATGAAACATTATCTCCCATCCCATATGATTTATTTTGGTAAAATTAAAATATACAGAAAATTCGCCACTTTAACCATTTTTAAGTGTGTATTTTAGTGGCATTAAGTATGTCCACATTGTTGTACAACCACTAGTACAGCACAGCCGTCTCCAGAACTTTCTCGCCTTCTCAAACTAAAACCCTGTACCCACTCTAATCCCCCAACTTTCCTCCCCCCAGCCCATGGCAACTACTATTCCACTTTTGTCTCTATGTCTCAGTTGAGTGGAATCGTATAGTATTTGTCCTTTTGTGACTGGCTTATTTCACTTAGCGTAATGACTTCAAGGTTCCTGCATGCTACTCTTACAATGGGAATGACACTCCTCCCTTTGATGGGAGTGGGGGGTCTATGTTCCCTCTCCTTTGAACCTGGGTACTCTTGTGACTGTGGCGTAATTGACATTATGACACTTTGAAGACTAATAAAAGGCAATGCAAATTCTAGTTTTCTTGGAATGCTCACATTTGGAATCTAGACATCAACTGTAAAGAAGCCCCAGCAGTTCATGGAGAGGCCCACATAGAGAGGAGCAGAGGTCCTCCACACCCACCCACAATCACAGCTGAGTTTCCATATGCCAACTAGCACCAACTTGCCAGCCATGGGATTGAGCCATCTTGAATGTGCCAAGGCAATGAAACAAGGATGCCAACAAGAAGCGGAATGTAGCAATTAAGAAATATATAGCAGATGATACTCAGTAATGTAGACAGGTGGAAAATTGCCATTAACCCCACGAAGGAATTTGAGCTCAGAGCAAGGTGCCAACTTGGGGGGAGACATCCTGGGGTACCAGATGAATTACAGAAAGAGCTCAAATGCCATCTTCCTTCCGTTCTTGGAATGCCAAGTTCATTTGAACTCCTTGGCCTTTGTACTTAGTTTCGTTCTGTCTAAAATGCTCTTCCTCAGATCTCCAAGTGCTCTAGCCATACTCGTCTGGAACCCCCCAGTGAGGAGAGACTTTGGCGCAAAC